TCCCTCTCATTTACCCCCTTTTCTATGATTTGTCTTCTTATAATGTGTGATATTTCATGTAGTATGACATTTTAAATATTCTCAGTTTTTCCATTTTGTTATTATGGAAATTTTATATTTAATTTTGTGTGTTCCATCTATGGTAAAATGTAGTCTGTTCACTTTGATTACATTGCCACACTCGGCAATGCTCAGGGGTTATTCCTTGCAGTGCTCAGGAGACCATGCATGATGCTGAATATCGAACCTGGATTGGCTGCATGCAAAGCAGCGCCCTACCCCTTGTACTGTTTTTGGATTTTTATTAGCTTTTTAACCTTAATTTATTTGATGAATAATTTCTTATATAATCAAGTTTTGGAGTGCCATGTAGATACTGGCTTTCCTATAAAGGGCCTCATTACCTCACTAGACTTAGAGAGATCTGACTGTCACCAGAATCCTGACCCTTCCCTTCATGGGCCATAGTTTCTTGTCACAGCTGTTAATTGTGCCATGATTGTGTCTGCAGCTCTATGATGCCTTACCTTTCTTTCCAAATTATGCAAACACCATGAGCTTTTGTTCATCCACCTCAAATTATGTACTTGTAAGTAGTTTATAAGTTGATAGAAGTCATATGAGATGTTTAGTTGTTTTCACGTTTTATGCAAACATGTGTATGTATATGAATATGCACCCATATATACATACCATATGTTATATATCTATGTTTACCTAAAATGTGAAATAAGTTTGCGTATCTAGAGCAATGTTAAAAATTCTGTAATGAACATAACAGTGTGTATATTTCATTGTCTTGAACATACATGTAGAACTAGGATTTCTGGATTATATGGTAGCTTTTTTAGGAACCTCCATCCTTTCTCTATAGTAACTGTAATAATTTGCATTACCATTGGCAGTTCTTAAGGATTCACCTTTCTCAACACCCATACCTGCACATATTTTTTGCATTTGTTATAAAAGCTATTCCAATATATGTAAGGAGATAACTCATTACGGCTTTGAATTATAAATCACAGATTAGTGATGTTTCAATCTTTCCATGTACCATTTATATGTATATGCTGAACAGGTCTGTTGGATCTCTTGCCCACTCTTCCACTTTTTATTTTTGGACCTGAGAGCACCAAAGCAGTGCTCACAAATCCCAGAGGTCACTCCAGTGTTACTTTACTCTGATTAATAAACCAGAAAATTAGATGATTGTACCCAGAAGTGTATGAGTCACTAACCCTACTCTGGTGATATTTTTGAGCAACCAGACCTGTACCTGTACCAACTAGGGAATCATGTGATGCTACTGAATAAACATGGGACATCTACTACACGTGTTGTATCAAGCCATTTGAGCCCTCACCGCAGACAATTCTATGCATTTTTCTTGAGATTTATTTATATGTTCGTAATACTACCAACATTCCTGTTTTATACTGATAATTCTGAAAGATTTTTACTACTAGGTTGCCACAGACATCACTCTTATCTCAAGGCCCCTTGCCTCATATGCCCCAGAACCCACAGATTATAGTTATCTTGACCATATTTTAGGGGGTAGTTATTGTGGATTCTCCAAACACATATTTTTATCTTTTGATTTTCCACATAAAAGTACAATCATCTGGTGTATTTATTTTATTTATGAATCAATGCAATTAGCATGAGTACATCCAGTTCCATCGACATTTCGGCAAAGTGAAAGATATGGATATGTATATATGCTACAATTTTTTATCCACTCATCCATTGTTGGGTACTTGAATTTTAAAAGAATATATGCATACCTATGTTTATTACTGCATTATTAAGAATATCCAACATATGGAAGCAAGTCAAATACTCAAGAATAGATGAACAAATAAGAAAATGTTATATATATATATATATATATATATAATGAAACACTCAGCTATGAGAAAGGACACATTCTTCCTACATTTTAATCAGATCTTTTTGGTTCTCAGTTGTCTGAATTTTTTTTTGCTGGCGATGCACAGGGGTTACTCCTGGCTCTGCACTCAGGAGTTACTCCTGGCATTGCTCAGGGGACCATATGGGATGCTGGGAATAGAACCCGGGATGGCTGCATGCAAGGCAAACGCCCTACCCGCTGTGCTATCACTCCAGCCCCTCGGTCGTCTAAAATTTTAAAAATATTTTTGTATTGTAGGTATAATGCCACCAGCAGGTCAATCTCTACCTGTGAGGCGAGTGCATCAGCCACCTGGTGGCACCGTCAGGCTTTCAGATACCCCAAAATTGCTGTTGTGCCTTTGGCCAGACCCCAAAAACTTGGGGCAAAGTTTACCAAGAAAGTCCAAAACAAACAAACACTGTCCTCCCATTGTTCATCGATTTGCTCGAGCGGGCCCAATAACGTCTCCATTGTGAGACTTCTTGTTACTGTGTTTGGCATATTGAATACTCTCGGTAGCTTGCCAGGCTCTCCAAGATGGGTGGAGGAATTGAACCCGACTCGGCCAGGCTGGGTGTGCACAAGGCAAATGCCCTACCGCTGAGCTATTGTAAATGGCCAAAAGTTAGGTATGTGGGAGACACACCCACAAATCACCTCGGGCTTAGCTATATAATTGGAGGCATGGCCTCTCTGGTTCCTGATCGAACTGCTTAACAGCCATGATCCCAGAGACTCAGAAACGAATCTCGGAACCCAAAAGCTTTTGGCAGAAATGCGTCTTGTTCCTGCAGTAGGTTACTGGGGCTGGGCCACTTCAGGTATGAATAGGTCTTGTGCCTTGGCCTGTTCTCCTTGGCGGCCTGATGACCGTCATCCTCCAGAGGCCGCTAGACAGTCAGGTTTGGGCCTGCAGTGACAAAACATGCAGGGCCTCACCAGATGAGGGTGGAACCGGCCCTTTTCCTCCCCATCCCAGCGAGACCTCAAGTCGCTGCCTATAAACAGCCTCTTTGGTTCCTGATCAAGCTGATTAATGGCCATGATCCCAGAGACTCAGGAACAAATCTCGAAACCCAGCAGCTTTTGGCAGAAATGCATCTGGACCGCATACGCTGCCATGGCTCCAGAGGCAAAAGGATTTAATCCAGAGCCCAGCAGCTTGTGGCAGAAACGTAAATGGACTATGCGTTAAACCATGGTACCATGCCTCCCTGGGAGGGAAATGGTGTTGCGCCCTTCCGCCTTTCTCCCCCTTCCCACCGGCAGCAAGGTGGCTGCCACCTCAGGGCTTATAGGAAAGCCAGGTATGAGCCAGTGGTGACGGGGCAACTGCAATCTCATGGGAAGGGTTGCGGTACCAGCCCATCCTTCACATCCTACCGAGGTAACAAGTTACACCCCACGAGTGGTTCTTTCACACGGGCATGGCTCCTGAGGCAAAAGGACTTAGTCCAGAGCCCTGCAGCTTGCGGCAGAAAAGTGAATGGATCATGTGTTAAATTATGGCGCCATGCCTCCTCGGGAGGGAAAGGGTGTTGCTCCCTTCCGCCTTTTTCCCCTCTGGCAGCAAGATGGGTGCCGCCTTAGAGCTTATTGGAAAGCCAGGTATGAGTCGGTGGTGACGGGCCAACTGCAGTCTCATGGGAAGGGGGGTGGTACTGGCTCATCCTTCATGCCCTACTGAGGTCACAAGTTGCCCCCATGAGCAGCTCTCCGACACAGCCATAACACCAGACACACCAAAACCAATCTCATAATTATCTGGCTCTGCAGAAATCCAAAATTGCGTGGCTGCAATAGCAGCCGCTCAACATATGATTCTCATAACCAACTCTAGAAAACAAAGTATTTCACAATGCCTTTTCAGCAATTCTGATTGTTGGGCAGGAAATTCTAAACAATAATGGTGAAACTTTTGTCAAAATGATGAATGTAATCAATGTAAAGAAGAGTTAAGTAGAATTCATCTGCCTCACAGGCATTGGGTGGGGTGGGAGGGGGGTATATTGGGGTTCTTGGTGGTGAAAAGTGAGTACTGGTGAAGGGAAAGGTGTTTGATCATTGTATGACCGAGACTTAAACCTGAAAGCTAAGTAACTTTTCCCACAGTAATTCAATAAATAAATATAAGACGAAAAATAAATAAATAAAACTAAAAAAAAATAAAATATTTTTGTATTAACCAAATAGATTTTATTCCTGAAAAAGTTTTCTCTCATCCCCTCATTTGCCTTTGCATTTTTCTATTTCTTTTTGATATGCAGAGATAGAAAAATCTTTTTTTCATTATTTACATCATGTGTTTTATGTAAAATGAATTGTAATGGTCAGTGGGGAGGAGCTACTTCTCTATTGTTTCAATGCTTATATAGAATCTTTTTCCATTTAAAGTTAAGCTAGGTATTGAAACTCTTTCACTGAGATTATATTTTATTTACATCTTATTATAACATAAAGTAAATTTATCCACAATAATTCTCACAAAAAACCTGATATGGACCACTACTGCTGTTTTCACAATCAAGTTAATCATGAATTTATTGGGGGCGGGTAAATTGTACTAATTTATGGAATAAATTCCCAGATTTTGAGTGCAGTATAAATATAGAACCCGTCCTTTTATGGTGCATCTATATACACTTAGCCTTAATCAGCTCACAATTATGAATCAGTAACTTTTTTCTTCCTAACCAATTAGCATATTCCAGCATATCTTCCTTTTTCACAATGTTATCCTCTCCCTAACCACATTTTACTTCCACAGATTTGGTACTCCCTGATCTTAAATTTTTAAATACACATTTTAAAAGACATATATTGTAAAGGAAGACGTACAATTTAAAATGAAAGTTAATTCCGTACAGTTAAGTCTCTTTTGACAGTTAACTATATAAAATAGATTTTGTTTTCCATAGAGTAAGTGAAATGAAATAGTTCTTAGTTACTGATATTTTCATATTTTGAGAAAATGTGAAAATATATAGTCTGTACAACCTTCACTAGTATACAATTTTGTATGTATATACATATATGTAAACATCTGTTTGTTCATGTACACCTCTTTTTTATTTGAGTTTAGGATTTGCTTTCCCATATGCTACATGTGGATCCACATCAGCGGTACACTACAGAACAAATATTAAAACATTCATGGATAACACACAGAGAGCATGTGTCAAATTATCAATCAAAGAAGAATGATACATCACATAGTATTAAGGTAAAACAAACATGCTTTCATACATGATACCTGAATGCTTGATACCTGAATAAAGTCTTCGTATGCCATTTATTGATGGTACTTATGTAGTTATGTTAAAGTATTTTATTTTATTTATTTATTTATTTGCTTTTTGGGTCACACCCAGCGATGCACAAGGGTTACTCTTGGTTCATGCACTCAGGAATTATTTCTGGCCATGCTCAGGGTACCATATGGGATGCTGAGAATCGAACCCGGGTGTCAGACCTTGTACAAGGCAAAGGCCCTACCCGCTGTGCTCCAGCCCCAAGTTAAAGTATTTCTAAGGTGGATTTCTAAACTTTAGTTTTTGATTTTTTTAATTTTTTTTTATTGAGGGGGCTGTGAGATAGTAAAATAGGTAGCATGCTTGCCTTGCATATGGCCAACTGGGTTCAATTTCCAGAACCGCATGTGGTCACCTGAGCGTTGCCAGGGTGACACTGAGATAAAAGCCAGAAGTAAGTCCTTAGTGTAGGATAACATTGTTCTGTCCTTCCTGCATAGCCTCCAGTAGCTTAGGTTTATTGGGTTGCTCCCATCACAGTACTCCCATTCCTCTGTGTTTATTTGTAACTTCTTTCTTTGTGCTCTGTTGACTTGTAAATATTGTTTTACTCTTCTCCCTCAGTCCTTTGCATAGTTTATTTAGAGCAATGTCCTTTTTATATGGACACAAGAAGACATTATATACTGTGCTTTTGTAACATGACTCTCAGTGATATTTTCCTCCTGGATATGTGTTCTCTTGACCTAAGCCTCAGATATCCTTACTTCCTAGCACTCCCAAAAGCAGGTTCCCAAGGAGGGACTGGATGGAACTAGGGCAAGCAATAAGCTATGTGGTACCCTGGCATCGAGATGGGTCTGGGCAAAGTACCATAATGCTTAACTATAAGTTAAGAGCTTGGTCATGGACAAATGTTGTCATGATCCAAAACATAATAACTAGATTCGGACCCTGCTAGGGTTAGGTAAGATTAATATGGCCTGAGCCCTGTAGTCTGAGTCTGTGGCAAGATGTTCCCAGGAGAGCTGGCCTACAAGCTTCAGTGTATCTCTTACTGTGTCCATACAAAATTAACTAGTATTAAAATGTTGATAGAGTTATTGGACTGAAGAAAGGAGAAAAACACCTTAAGAGGTATTTTGCCTGAGGCAGTCAGGAAGGACTTTGGAATACCTCTTAGGCAGTGTTCCATTTGAACCTGGTGAGCCCTCAGGAAGGGCTTTCTTATGTTGATTTTGAGAGTGCTGGGGAGTTGGAGGGACAAGAGAGCTGGAGGGAAGGAGAGAATTGTAGAGAAGAGAGAGAGAGCAGGGCGGCAAGATGGAGTGCCCAGTGACTAGCAAGGGGGAAAGAGTGAGAAGAATGTAGAAGAATATAGGAGCAGGCACGTAGCAAGAGAACGCCCAGGCTGCAACATGGAGCACAGAGAGATGAGCGGAAGAGACAGGAGGAGATAGGAATGAGGATCAGTGTGAGACTAGAATGGGAGGCTCAGAGAGACTGGGGCAGGTGCATGGGAAGAATGGAATAAACTGCATCTGATCAATCAACCGGCATGGCCCTCATTTCCTCTACTGTCTGCCCCATGGCCCAGGCTGCCCCGGCTAGGGAAGCAGCCCGTGGCCCCCCAGCACCTGGGCTGCTAGGGGAAGAGCCGTCAGAGCCTCCCCTTGGCCAACCCCAGAGTTATTATACAGCTGTTAACCGAAAGGTTGGTGGTTTATGCCCACCCAGGGATGCCAGCTGTATAACAACTCCGGGGGTGGCCACGGTTACCAATGTAAGAAGGGGGAAATGTGGAGATGTCTAAAGAACTGAAGTAAAGTTCGATGATCATGGCCAATAATATTGTACTGAATAATGAAAATTTGGTAAAGGTAGATGCAGGTGAAATATTCACAAAAATGACAACTGTGTAGCTATATGCTAGTTTGATTGTATTAGCTATTTATCACCTTGATGTAGTTACCAAAATGTGTAGGCCTGAGGGAGAGGAAACACAGCAGGTAAGGAAAATACCTTATACACAGTAGACCCACATTTGATTCCTTTCAGCTTATATGGTCCTCCAAGCACTGCCAGGTATAATCCCAGAGCATGGAACTAGGTATAAGCACTGTTATGTGTGACCTCCAAACCAAATGTAATGTAGATATATATCTATATATAGATATATATACACGTATGTATAGATGTAGGTATTATACGTATATATAATATATATTTTATTTAAAATTATTTATATATATACAATTGTATATATACAATTAAACATGGATTCACCTTAAATACATATTTCATTTATAGTTAAGTAATTATGCAATTTAAAGTATACATTAATATATACATTTCCATTGCAAATAAAGTTAAAAATATTTAAAAGAAAATTGGATGAGGGATAAAAGACTGAAAAGTGATTTTCCAGGTGCATAGGTATAACAGTAATTAAGTATTAACTACTTAATTAACATAGTACCATAACAATAATCAGGTGCTAATTATGAGAGCAGGGCTGGAGCGATAGCACGGCATATAGGGCATTTGCTTTGCACATAGCAAATATGGCCGACCCGAGTTCGACTCCTCCAACCCTCTCGGAGAGCCTGGCAAGCTACCGAGAGTATCTCGCCCGCACGGCAAAGCCTGGCAAGGTCCCCGAGACGTATTCGATATGCCAAACACAGTAACAAGTGTCACAATGGAGACGTTACTGGGCCCGCTCGAGCAAATCGATGAACAATAGGAGGACTGTGAATTATGACCAGTAGACAGTAAACAGTACTCAGTTGGGGTTTTTGTTTTTTGGTTTTTGTTTTGGTTTGGAGGGCCACACTTTGCTGGGGTTGGGGAACCATAAGAGGTGCCAAGGAACAAGCCCAGGTCAGCTGCATGCAAGGCAAGTACCCTACCCGCTGTATTATCATGCTGGCACAGTATTCAATTTTTTGAGGGGAGTCACTTGTATATAAGATGAATCTCATAAGATAAAGTATAATGTTTACCTCCAAATATTGCTATTCACTTTGTAATATTCCTCATTATTTTAGGGAGCTGTGGTTGCCACATATTCTGCACTTACTCAAAAGACCTTTCAGCCAATTCTAGAGCCTGTTGCTGCTTCAAGCTTAGCTCAGCGACGAAGCATGAAAAAGCAAACATCAACTGGCCTATAAGAGTTTCAGAACCTCTCAGCCAAACTGTATGAAGATAAAATTAAATGTGTGGTTCATCGCCTAATATTTCATCAAAGGCATTACTTTATGCTACATTATTTGGATGTTCTATTTAATCCTCCTTTTAAGGAGGAATGATATAAATTTAAACTTGCACAGGTCCACAATATTCATACTATATAAATTTGTGGTAATTATAAAGTTTTTATTTAAGTATGTTATAGGTGTCCATGAAGCACTAACTTATTTGCACACTATCTTTTAATATTCCTTTCAAAGTTACTTTACTATTTTTTCTGATTTAATAAAATAGTAGTTTGGAGAATCATCATTATACACATTTAAAAAAGCAAATGCAATGTGTAATGTCAAACAATGCCAGTATTTTTTAAAATGAAAGTGTGGAAAAATAGGTTTTTTTTTAAAGAGAAACAAATAAAAGATAATGTAGAACTTTCTTGTTTACAACTAAATGACTCCATTCTTTGACTCTCTGTTGTTTCTAAAGTATAGATATTTAAGTTTTGTGCCAGAGCATAACGTTTGTGCTAATATGTGAATTTATGACATGGTTGGTGCCAGTTTTTTTTATGGAAGACATAGTCATAGATAACACTTGTAAACAGAGCTGTAATTTTATTCCTTAAATGGCCTCATTTAAAAGCAAAGATGTAGGCTTCTATAAACTTAATTTCTAATGGATTTATAGTAAAAGTGAAGAATTTTTCAGCCAAAGGCTTTGCCCTGGATCTGTATACTACTCAGTGACTCATTTTTAAGCCGTTGAAAATAAAGTACATGGTTTTAGCACTACCTTGGTGTATGTAAACTAACTTTTATCTAGTCAGTAAAATATATTCATTATTTATTGCCTTTAAAATAAACTACACTCTTGGCTTTTGGACGTCCGTGTACTTTGAATGATAGTGCAGGATATTAATTAATCTATGTTGAATCCGATGTTGATACTGTTAATATTTTGCTGTAGTGGATATGTGAGTTTAGCACACATTATGTAGTATAATAATGTATTTTAGGAAAAATTTAAGTAATGCTGTGTAATAGCTGTACTACAAAAAGTTAAATTGACATTCTAAATTGAAAGTATTAATGAGTTATATCAAAGTTCAGTACATACCAGATCACATTTATAAAGAAAATATCTGCCAAATTGGTATAATTACATTTATTCTTTAGAACCATTGCAACCATTGCACATTATTGCTGTTTTCTTTAAATGATGTGAATTTTAGGGAATTTTTTTTTTGTTTCCGAATAAAAATGTTATTACTACCTACTACCACCACTACTACTACTACTACTACAACTGTTATTTCTGGTATCACTACCACCACTACTAGTCACAGAAAGAACTTATGAATGTAAACTGGAAAATATTACAATTTTACTTATTGAATATAACTGAATTACTTTTGAGTGCTAGGTATGTATTTTTTTTGCTGTGTGTATTTTATTTTACCTGGTGAAAGGAAGAGAGCTGATTACTGAACATTGAAGTATACAATTTGGGCTAGAACATTTGTAACTTTGGTATTTAATAAAAGAAACAATACATATTCTCTTTATAATGTAAGTGATGTACATATATGTATTTTTGGCTGTGATGTATAAAAGTATGCATACCTTTTTGTGGTGTCTTCTTTAAGTCATTGAAAGACAGTAAAGAACAAGTAATGAATCCTGGGAAATATTACTTAGTAATAGAACAATAAGATTGAATATAACCCAGTCGACTGAACTCCTGCTTTGCACACAGAAGGCCTGGGTTCTTGAATTGGCACGAATATACCCAAATTCCTCCAGGAGTATCCCTGGGCAAAAAAGTAGGAAAAGCTCCCAAGAACTGCTGGATTTGATTTGAAAGCTAAAGAGGAAAACAGAAGTATACCATTATATATTATAGAATTTTATGACCAAATTTAGCCTTTATCTTTCCTCATTTTATTATAAGAATTACTTGCATGTAATTTATATATCTTATATTCTGGCTGCTTTTCTTATTACCCTGCTTTTGCTTATATTCTTTCTATGAAAAGTATTTTTATACTGTACTTTCCAAAATAAAGATACATATATATATATATATATATGTCTTTATAGCAGTATAATTCAGGAAAGTGAAATTGAAAACTAATCACAAATAACTTTCCTTTTTCCATAATAAATAGATCTTAAATGAGATTATCATATTTTTTTTTGAAAATTTGCTTAGAATTACCATGTCCCACAGCTTCTTTATGAAAGGAACATGACCAGAATAAAGCAATGGACAGCATCATTAGTGATCACTGTAAAATGAGAATTGACAATACATAAAAGAAAGAAAGATGAATGTACCCAGTTACTGCATTTTTTTCATTTTTGTATTTGCACCAAACCTGTTATTTTTCAGGACTTACTTCTGAATACTCTGGAACTATATGAGGCACCAGGGATAGAACCCAGGTCAGCCTCAGGTAAGGCTGGAAAACTCAAGTATTATTTACTTAACTGCATTACTTAACTGAATTATTTGGGAAAACTTCAAATTGTATCATTATTTTTGTAGAAGTAACCCAGAAACTATGCCTAATTAAACGTATTTTGTCCAGATCCATTTAGAGCAACAAATACAGTTATGGATGTGATTTTCTTATGCGATTTCTATAAATGCTTAACCAGCAGGCAAAAGTCTTTCTGTAAGACTGTTAAAAAACTGTAGCTTCTAAGGAATTCGTGTACAATTATTTTGCATCACTTTATAATTGATCATTCTTGGTGATATTCAACGATAGCAGATTTTGGGATAAAATGAATATTATACTATTATTTTATTATATAGAAAACACCAGATTTGTCCATCAGACTAGTAGTCAATTGTATAAGACAAATCACATGTTATCACGAAAATTCTCAGGAAGTCATTTGCAAGTAAATTTTGGTATGGAGCAATAGTACAGCAGGTAGGGCTCTTACCTTGTATACAAGCAAAACAAGTTCAGCACCTGGCATCTCACATCAAGAATTGCTGAATACTTGATATGATGTGATTGGTCACTCGAGAATTGCTAAAAGTAATTCCTGAGTGCAAAACCAGGAGTAATCTCTGAGCATACCAGGTGTGGAACAAAAATGAAAAAAAAGAAAATTCAAATGTAATAATGTTGATACTATATGAAAAAATCAAACAATGGGTTTAATTATTTCATGATAATTAAGATTTACTATTTTTTGTTATGCTCAATAGTTAAAAATAATTTTATACTTAATTACCATTGATAATTAAACAGTAATTAAATAAAACATTTTTATAGTACTCTGTTTAACCCAAGAGAATTTCATATTCATAGGCAATTAAGAAACTTAAAATTAGATGCTGCTGGTATATAATGTTTCTTCATGAAACATGAAAATTGTGGTGGCAAGAGAAGTTTTTTTCATGCTGATTGAATAAATTTTTTCATGCTGATCATTCATGGTAACTCACAGTTCCAGAGGCCGAATCTAAACGTTGGATATGGGAGTCTCCCAGTGGACGGTTCCACAACGAAATTGATCATATCATATTTAATTGATGGTTTTGCCTGACCAATGTAACTGTTGTTCCAAAATTCAAAATGGAATTGGACCACCGTCTACTTCGTGCAAAATTCTACTTAACGGAGCAGGGAGAAAGGGCTATAAAATTTAAGAAGAGAACTCCCAAAACGACCACCAACTGGCACTATTACAGCAACATGGGAGGATGCTGTCATTGACAACATTGAAGAAGAATACAATCGACTGGATCAGCACCTCCATAATTGTGCAAGGAACACCGACAGAGAGATAGCCACAAAAAGACACCTGTCTTCAAAAACTCTTGAGCTCATTCACCAATGTGGCTTGGCGCAAGCCTCAGACAACTGCAAGCGAATGTCTGAGCTGGCAAAGCAGTGCAGAGAAGCGGTAAAGGAAGACCACAAAGAGAGAAGAGCAGCAGTGCTGACAGATGTGGCAGAAGCCAAGAAAAGCATTCGCAACACCCGTTTGTCCTTCACCAACTACAAGACTAAGATGACTGCCCTCCGACGTCCTGATGGATCTATCACATCTTCCAGATGGGCAATGGAGAAGATTATCCATGATTTCTACTCAGATCTCTTCGATATCCATGTCTATCTGCCCACATACCAAATTCCGCAGGATGGATATGTCGTTCCCAACATTCTCCTGTCCAAAATCTGACACGCCATTTCATTGGTTAAGAAGTGAACAGCACCCAGCCCAGAAAAGGTCAGACCCGAACACCTGAAGAACCTGCCATCAGTACTCATCAATACACTGGCTTGGATCTTCACATGCTACCTGTCTGAATGCAAGTTACCATCCCAATGGAAAACCAGTAGGTCTGTACAAGAAGGGAGATATCCACAACATTAGCAACTATCAACAAACTGCCTGTTCTCTGTCATCTACAAGCTGTTCACTCGAGTCATCCTGAATAGGATTGACAGAACACTAGATGAAGGACAACCATGCGAGAAAGCTGGGTTCTGAAAAGGATTCAGCACGTTGGCCATATCCACGATATCCAAGCTCATTGAGGTGTCTCTAGAGTTCAAGATGACACTGCCTAATGTTGATTGATTTGGAGAAGACCTTTGATTCTGCTGAGACTGAAGCAGTCATTGAAGCCCTAGCCAAACAGGGCATTCAAACTCAATACATCAGTACCTCCGTGAGCTGTATTATGGATTCACTACCAGGGTCTCACCATTCTACAAGGAAGTGATCTTCCATGCCAAGAGGGGGGTTTGGCAGGGTGACACATTTTCACTGAAACTCTTCAGTGCCACCCTCTAAAACATCATGCTACGACTGGAATGGGAAGGAATGGGAGTGAAGATAGATGGTCAGCAACTACACTACCTCTGCTTCGCTGATGACTTCGTTCTAATAACACCAAATATTAGCCAAGCAGCACAAATGCTGGCCAACTTCAACCGTGAGTGTGGAAAGGTCGGACTACAGCTGAATCTCACGAAGACAATGTTCATGAGAAACGGACTTGTTCTTGATTTT